GAGGAACCTGGCAGACTACAGTCCATGTGGTTGCAAAGAGCTGACACAACTGAATGACTTAGCAGCCGCAGCAGCAGAGCAGGTATAATGATGGAGGCTGCTGCTTTGGAATATCAGTGGGAAATATAGGATTCTGAAATGATAGAGGCCAGGTCTCTCAGAGACAAGGAGGCTGCAATCACCACACTAAGTGACAAGATGGAATGGTAGTCAGGATGCTTTGACCAGCAGGGGTCTGTGGTGGTTACTAAAAGATCATAAGTCTCTGGAAAACAATCTATGGACATCCTGTTAAGGTGCTGCTTGGCATAAAAAGGTAAGTTTCCAGGTTCACTGAGCCTAGCTCAAGTCACCACAGTGGAATTCACATTCTCTTACCTACTTCCCAGACCTGGAGCCCCTTATCTGAGGGGAGACAAGGTCTCTGTGAGAAAGACTGTGTATGTATGTTATGGAAGTTTCCCTAGGTCTTCTCTGGAGAGACCAGAGGCAGTTTACAAAGGTGACTGTATAGAGTGGAGTTGGGGAAGAGAAATACCCAGGCTTTCTGGAGGTTATTAGACAGTGGTTCTGAACCTGAAAAGCCTAACAGTTTGCCAATTAAAGCTTTGGAAGTCAGAGAAGAGACAGAATTGGCCCACATCCATCTAAGGTGGGGGGTGGGGGGGTTCAATGACTCTATCTTGTGGTTACTTCCCTAGACCCAGAATGTATAGTTAGAGGAGATATGCCTAGTGATTGACAAAATTCCACACTGATTCCTACACCAGTGGAATAAAATCTATAATGGTAGGACAGGCCAAGTGGAAGGAAGCTCCTAGAACTGTACTGTTTCCTCCAATCCCCTTGACAAGATGGTAAGACCTGTAGGGAGAATGATAGCAATTAGTATCACCACTGAAGGCTTGAGAGAGAAAAGGAAGTGAAGATGACCTACCACATCCCCATTTAACTCAGTTGTTTGACTGATGCAAATGCTACATGGGTTATGGGGACACAGTGGATTATTGCAAAATCAATCAGGTGGTGATGCTAGTTGTAGCTTGAGTTCTAGATGTGGTAGCCTTATTGGAATGAATTAGTATAGCCATAGCATGTCATATGTGGTTATCTATCTGTCAGATACTTTCTTTCTATTCCAGTCAGTAAGAAAAATCAGAAGCAGTTTGCTTTTAAAGGGCAGGGACAATACAGAGTTAAACTGTCTTGCCCCAGGACTGTGTCACCTCTCTTCTAATCCATCATAAAATAGTCCTGAGGGTCCGTGATCATCTTCAAATCCCATTGGAAACCATGCTAGTCCATTCCATTGAAAATACAATGCCACAGGTTTTGATTAGCATGAAGAATCAAGCCAGAAGGTGGAAGATAAATACTGGAAAAGTTTATGGGGTTCCTGACATTTCTAGAGGCCTAGGAGCATGGGACATGTCAAGATAGCTAAAGCGAAATGCAAATTGAGGCAGCTTGCACCACTGGGCAAGATGAGAGAAGCGCAATGCTTTGGGATTTATTTCGTGTTTTGAGGACAACATATACTACATAGTGTATGGCTTGAAATGTGGCCAGTTTTGAGTGGGACTTGGGTCAAGAAAGGTGTACATACAGTAGCATAAGCTTCTGTGTTACATGTGCATTATGACTTATGACTCAGGGGCTCATGGAAGTATCTGAGGCTTTATGGGACCTCTGACAAGCCCTGACAGGAGAATAAGGGCATGGAACCTTAGGATTTTCTTTGTGAAAAGAAGTTCTTGCCTTGCTACTGGACCCTAATAGAACCAATGTGTTGACTTGGGGATGCCAAGTGATTATGCTATTTGAGTTACTCATCCTGAACTGGATGATGTATGATCCGTTGAACCATAAAACAGTATAAACAGAAGTAATCCATCATAAATGAAAATAATCAGGCTTTAGAAGATTCGAAGGCCTCAAGTAATTTGTGTAAGCAACAGGTTCAGACTTTCATGTACTTCCTCTTTATAGCTTGATGCCTTTCCCTTAGTGCATACATCTGGTTTCACGGGGCGTTCTGAATGACTAGAATAAGCAGATATCCAGGTTTGCGCTAGGTAGTACTGGTTTATACCTGTTGTCAGCATTATTCATTATTCATGACACCACTTTTCATTGTGAAAAGTGTCCTACTTTGGACAACCAGTTATGACTACCCTGTATATGATCAATCAGTGGATGGGAAGGAATGTGTACCTGGCTTATGGATTTTTGTACTCTAGCATCAGCTGGAAGTGTACAGCTAATACGGCACAAGCCCACTGAGTGGACAGAACTCCAAATAGTATATCTGGTGTCTCCTTTGTGTGGAAGAACAAATGTTGATGTAGATCAATACCAACTCAGGGTCAACACCAGACTGGTCAGCTGCTCAGGGCATCAGAAAGAACAAAACTGGACAATTACTGATAAGGATGTCTAGAAGGCAGGCTACTTAAATGTTTTAGAATGGGCTATAGTAGGAAGATATTTATTTCTTATGTAAATGTCCAGTGGAGGGGAGTCATAGTGGAGGGAATTCTCAGTAATGAGGATAGCTCCTCCTGTGGGGTATATTGAGCCCACCTTGGTGTTTGCTCACGGACTGGTGCTTGAAGTGACCGTGGTGGTAGGGTATCAACAACTTGGTATCCCCCTTGTCAAAGTTGATCTAACTATTAACACAATGAAGTGCCCACCTGCCAATAGCAGAGACCAACTTTGAGCTTGTTGTATGACAGTATTCATTACGGAAACCAGCATAAGTGATCTTGTAAATGCTTGCTCTGAATTACAAAGAAGGACAAAAGGGGTAGGGTGTGGAGTGTGAATGGAAAAGCCCAATTTCGTCAGATAATGGGAATGTTCCATTTCTCCACTGTTACTGAAGCTGTTTTGTTAGGTTCTCCTTATGAAAAGGATCAGTAGGAAAAGAAGGGAACTACTATGATGTGGCAATTTTGTTTGTGGACTTTATCTCATTTAGTTCTCACAGCAACCCTGTGGGGTGAGTTGCACTCCGACTCCCTTAGGGACACGAAAACACAGGAACAGAGAGACAAAGTCTCACTTTCAAAGACTCATAATTAGATGTGATGTCAAGGTTTGAACCCATACCTGTCTATATGTCTTTAATGGCGTTGCTTTTTAGGAGACTGTCTGGAATGCTAAGGTGGGTCTCAGTGGGTGTCTGCTGGCCACTGTGGCCATCATTCTCTTATCCTTGCACTTTTGCCAGAGCCACTATGGGACACAGACTGAATTTTTATCCCCTGCATCTCTCCTTCAGCTCCAGCCCATGGAGTGGGGATGAGCAGAGCTCTGCCTGAAGAGAGGGAGGAAATAAGAAGTGGCTTCATGGTCCTGTTAAGGCTCCTGAAATAGCCCAGGTGAGGAGGCATCTCAGGGCTCTTTTCCTTGGCTTCTCCAAAATATCCACAAGAGATGGAGAGGAATCTGAGTTGCACAGACTCTGAGGCCTGGTCTGGGCATCTTGAGAGGAAATGGAGAGAAAGAGGGAGGAGGCTACTTTTTAGGGGTGAGGTGACTTTCAGATCTGGCCTTGGAACCTCTTGATTTAGGCAAGTAGCCCTGGCTGATACAACCCTAGCTTTGGTGACGAGTAATGATCATTATCTGGGTTCCTTTTTTCCACATTATGTTTCACAGAAATGAGCTAATTCTCACATGGTGCCCACATGACTCTTGGGTTTCTTCGTCTCGGAGTCCTTATTCTGCAGATGCTTTCGATACTGTTCTGAGAAAACTTGTGTGATTCCCTCCCAGCCCCTCGCATACTCCTAACCTTAGCCTGGAGATGCCCCTAATCTCTGTGGTTCCTGGGTACTCTGTTCTTGACCTTGTTATAGCACTTTTCACATGTGTTGGGGGTTTGGGGGTATCTATTCTGCAGTGCTGTTGTGAGATGATACGTGTAAAGTACTCAAGCTTGGTCTTGAGCGGCTGTTTCTGTTATTGTGTGCGCAGGTGTGCGTGCGCGTGTGTGTTAGTCGCTCAGTTGTGTCCATTTCTTTGTGATCCCATAGACTGTAGTCTGGCAGGCTCCTCTGTCCGTGGAGTTCTCCAGACAAGAATACTGGAGTGGGTTGCCGTTCCCTTCTCCAGGGAATCTTCCCCACCCAGGAATCGATCCCGGGTCTCCCTCATTGCAGGCAGATTTTTTACTGTCTGAGCCACCAGATTTTTGTTATTACCGTGGTTGTTTTTCTACTTGTCAATCACCCCTGTTGAAAGCTCAGAGGAAGGGGCTGTGTCCCTGTTCCCTAGCACAGTGCCGAGGGCATCGGTAGATACTCAATAAACTTGCCAGGAAAGGAAAACAAGTTGAATAAAATGAGTTAAAGGGTAGCAAAGGCAGGGCATGAGTATGCTTCTCTTAACCATTTAAACATATGTAAATAATAAGCATATAATTCCTGATATTTTCAGTGAGAAAAATTCTTTATTTAAAATAGGCTAGATGTTTTTACTAGATTAAATAAAATACTCTACAAATGAGAATTTTAAATCCAGTAAACCAAACCCAGTAATACCAGTCAGGGATTATCGACCAGTCCCTGTTTAATAACGTTTGAATGAAATAACTTATAATTCTAAGAATATGTGCCTTTGCTTAAAGAAAAATTTCCAAAGTAGTGTCACATTTCCTGGATATAACAGTGTTACGCTAGCAGGAGAAATTCTGTAATGCCAAGATAGCTAAGAAACAGTGATTTTCAAATGCAGAGACCCTTTGACTTGCTCTGATGTTATTAATAGTATTTCTAAATCACAGAGACAGGCGGCACATTTTATTTCAATAAGAGAATGAAAGCAAGAAGGGGACCTACACTATTTCTAGCCACTTGTATTTATTAATATGTGTTTAGCACTTTTAATGCCTTTGCTGCAGAAGGGTAATAAGTGTTTTCGCAAACAGATATGCTATGGGGACAAAGCTGGGGAGCTTGTGCATACAGAAAGTAGCCGATATCTCCCGACTCTCAGGGCTCTTGGAAATGCCACGCATCATGCTTGATTTGGGGCTGCTGGGCCTTGTTTCTTGGCATCAATGCGTGCTGAGTGTCAGGGGTTGCTGTGGAGTCCACAGTAGTTTCTTCCTGGAGACCCAGAGTTGTGGTCTCATCAGCACCGTAGGTCTCATAAACCTCAGCTAATCCAGGGGTCATAAGTGGGTCGGCAGCTGCTGGGGTGACTCCCCTAAGGAATCCCCTGATGCGCCCTGCAGGGCCCCTTGCCAGGTTGGGAATATTGCCCTCAGGATTAGCAAGGAGCCCTCCGAGGGTACCAGGTGCTAGCTCTGAAAGGAGAGCTGGGCTTTCCGGATCGGCTAGGTGGGCCTCTGGCACAGGGGAGTCTTGTGCACCTCCTTCTCCCTTCTCCGGGCCTTTGGTTGCAGCGACTGGGGAGTCAAACTCCAGAGTAAAGTCCCCACCCATGTCTGGGTTCTGGGGCATCCCTCCAAGGCTGGGCCTCATGCCTCCAAATCCTGGGAATATGGCTCCATAGGCCACGGGGCCTCCTCTTCCTCCCTGGAAAAAAGCATTTACCAAAAACACTATGGTCACATACTGTTAACTATTCCATGCAATTATATCTGGTCAAATTCACTGAGAAGCCACAAAAAAACTGATAGGGAACAGGGAATTGGCTGACAGCTTTGTGTAAGCACATTTCTCGCTAAATTGACTTCTGCATTTTTCTGAGTGGGGTGCTCACTTCTTTGAAAGGGAGATGAAGACCCTTTGAATGTTTGCTGAAAGGGAAGAAGAGAAGCAGGGAAGTAGGGAAGAACCACGTCTACAAGCAAAAGGTAGTTTGAATTTAGTTTTAAGAAAACAATAAGCAGCTGAAATGGGCAGTACCGTCGTAAAACAAACATAAATCTGATCCATTCCTAAATTGGTTGAGCAGAGTTTTGGAGGACCTTGTCAATATCATTTCTCAGTATCTCTCAAATTAATGAAGCCCCATGTAATATTTTTTCTTTTATTTTTTCTTCCTTCCTTCTTTCATTCTTCTTCCCCTCCTTCCTTCTTTCCTCTGGAGAAATGGTAACATTTTCTTCCTGTGGACAGTTAAAATTCTAGAACTGACCATGTTTCCTTTTTTTCCTTTGTTGCAAAACACTTCAGAACCAAAATCTTGGGCTACTTACAATGGTTGTGTGTGGCCTTGTAACTTACATATCTGTATTCTCATTTTGACTCATTTTAAAATTCTATCTTCAGTTTTTTTGTGTGTGTGATATTTATTGTCTTTTTTATAAGCTACAGGAAAATCTTTTAAGATTGAGGCAGAATATAAATAAGTTAATTAAAATTATAAAATGAAAATTGACACTTGAATTTTCAACCTGTTTTGTAGAGTCAGTTATGTATGTTGTGTTATGTAGAGTCCGTACTTTTCCCTCTTACCTTCTCCTGGCTCTCCACTCTCAGATTTTCACATCATTTCCTCCAGAGATGGTACTGTGAACCCCTGGGCTGTGACCCTTATCACATAATTTTCACATTTTCTGCTCTGGTATCTATTTTTCCCGCTGATTAGTCTGTAAACTCCTTGAGATCAGAAACCTTATTTTATTTAACTTATCTCCAGAAGATCTTTTTAAGTGTCTCACTCACAGAAGGCATTCAATAATTTGAGATTCGAGTTTTCTTTTAATGATAGCATGCTTATGTGTATTTATTAATTTGACATGATCTGTATTTATTAATTTGATATGATTTGATAATGATTTGTTACTTTGGTATGGTTTTGTTTTGTGTTCTAACAGATATAAAAATTCCTGAGAGAAAAAGTCCAATTGTGAGTCTGTTGATCTCAAATTTTAAAGTTGTAATATGCATGGATAATGATAACAGAGTAAGAATATACTTGACTTAAGTCATAAATGTACTTGGAATTTTACAATAATCAAATTTTAAATTTGGTTAATTTTTTTCTTTTTGATCTCTCAATTTTGAGGTCTAAATGATTTGTTATTTTGTTGAGTTTGTTGTTTTGAGGGGTTAAATGGTCTGAGAAGTAAGGGGAACTTCATGCATCATGTGTTTCTTTTTTGGCTTGAAGCATTTGCTGTTCAATAATGATGGCTTTTCAAGAGATGTTGCTCCTGTGCTCCGTGCATTCAAGAAAGGGGGCAAAATCCTATGTGCAAGAATGCTCATCACTCAGAAACAGTTATATGGGAAATGTGATGATTCTTTGCATGCTGCTTCAGAATCCAGCTTTTAGGTTTGGAGTGGAACAACCTGAGTCCCATGTTGTATATTCAGCTACACTCATGGCCAACGCCTCTTGAAGCCAGTCATCTGCGACTGTTCTCCCTTGGCCACTGTTTTAAGAAGAGTTTGAAGACATTACTCACCCCCATTTCTTCTGAGCTCATGATGCCAAGTCTGGCAGGAGCGTTCTGTTCAAAAAGAAACGCTGAATCATATTATGAACCAGCTGACTCCTATTATCTTTGTAGATACTCAAGAAAAAAGTCAATTGGTCTTTCCTTAAACTTTAATATTAATGCTGTGTCCAGAGGTGGAGTAAAGTGGAGAGACGAATCATTATTGAATAAAAGTAGCCAATTTGGATATTCTGATAGAAAATTTATTTACCTTTTCTTTAATGCCATTGTGTGTGTGTGTGTGTTTGTATGCTTGGCCAGAATCATCCAAATAGGAAGAGTGCCTCCTTGCCATTTCGGTTGCTAACTTCAGCAGTCAGAAAATATGGGATCTATTGTTGGAGACCTGGATTTTATAATATTATCTCCTAAGGTAACACTAAATTAACTAAAATAGGATAAAGACTTACCAGTTGATTTGCTCCGTAGGTCACGTAAAATATTCCTGGGTAAAGCTAAATATAAATACAATAATCATCACATAATGCATTCCCAAGAGAAAAGTTTTTAAATAAATCACAAACAGAGAAGTGGTATTAAAAAAACTTACTGGAGATGGTTTATTTTGTGTCATTGGTCCCCGAGATATCAAATGGGCTATTGGAAATATCTTTAAATGGTAGAAAGAGAATAAGCAATTCATATTTGCTATAACACAGCAAACCTCCCATTATAGACATTTCTAAGAGTTATATGAAATACATTTTCAGATGACCTACTATGATAAATATTCAGTGTTTAGTATTTAAGAAAACAAAGCAACCCATTATACTTCATATTTATGAATAAATGGGACAATTAAAATTTTTTACTCTTCTTCCTTAAAGTATAGAGATGTATTCCCCAAGAAAGTATCTTATTGAGATTTGTACTTACCGGTGGATCTTGTGGATCAGCAAAATCCATTCCTGGTAGCTGCATTACAGATAAATATTAAAATTACTGAGCAATCAGAATAGACAAAATGAACTTAAAGGGTTCTGATCCTTTTTACGACTACATAAATAAGCAATCTAAAATGAATTTCCATGTTTTTAGTTTCGTTTCAGCTTGGAGGATACAACCTACAAGATTACGGTTGCCCTTTACTGACACGACTCAAGTGCGCAGCAAGGGGATGTGTCATGTCTGTCACGAATTTGTTTGGTTTTGCAGCATAGAAACTAATGAATTTTGGGATCAGAGCCTGCCAGGTTGGTTTGAATCCTGGCCTTGTCACTTAACTTTTGTGTGATACTGGGAAAATTTTATAACCTCTCAGTATCTGGGTTTTTTTTTTCCTCTTTAAAAAAGGATGATAATACCTATCTTTATAGGATGGGAGTCAGGATGATATCGGAGAATGTTAAATGCCTGCAACATACTAGTTACATGGTAACTTCCTTTCTGTCCATTGCTTTTTTCTCTATATTATCACATGATACTTTGGCTTGATTGTCTTCTCTACCACCAGATAGGAGTATCTCACCCCATGAGACAGGGAAGCCTGGTGTGCACAGTTCATGGCGTCGCAAAGAGTCAGGCACAACTAAACTACTAAACTACAAAAACAGCTACCAGACAGAGAACTAGTAATGCAGCACTACTACTTGCAATGCTGACGGATCAATCACTTTTCTCAGTCTTCTAGCACTGAAAAAGAGCTTGATGATAGGAAGCCCAGACTTCTCTGGACAATCCTAGTTTCAGTGAAAGCTTTCACTTTTGCAACTAAGAGACCAGTTTTATAGGAACAGGATCTTTTAGAATCCGTAACCCCTATCTCAGATGGCAGAGGGTAGGAATGGATATCTGTGTTCTACTCCCAAATATGTCAATTGCTTGGATACATATTTGTATTTTCGTGCATTATTCCCAAAGCTCTGATTATTTAAATGTGCTCTGCCAATTGGTTTTCTTTCACTAAGTTAATGGATGATCCTGACAGGACTTCAGAGAAAGGAGGTACCTCGGTCGTTGGTGGCTTTTCTGATGGCGCCACCTGCTGTTCAACCATTGGCCCCTCGGCTTGCTGCAAGGGCGGATGTCCCTGGTAAATCGGAGGCTGAGGTAGGCCCTTCTGGACTCCGTTCTGGATGGAGGTGACAACGTTGGGCTGGAGGAAAGGTTTCTGTCCTGGCTGTTGAGGCTGCAGGGATGGCTGCGATGGGAGAGGTGGGGGATGCACAGGCAAAGAATATTCATACTGCAGAGAAATTTGAAAGGAGCGTCAGGAAGCGATGGCTCACTGAACTGTGGGGTCTAGAATTTCTAAAGCGAAAGGTCTTGGGGAACTTTGTACTTGCAAGAGAGTCTATGGGGCTTGCCGTGAAGTTGTGTTATATAGAAAGCTCCTATTTGCTTGAAGGCAGTGTTATTTGGGTAAGATTGGTAGGTGTCTACCGCCCCTGCTCCCACTGGGACTGACTACCATTGCTCATGTAGGTGGGAAGCTATGTGACTTCTGGGTAGAATGAGCCAGTTTCTCCTCTGGGTTCCTGCAACTGCCTCTGTGTATTTCTGTGTTACCACCTTCTCAGTGGATTACAATGATTTATGCCATGTCTTTATCCCTTATTCAACTAATATAGAATACTCTGTCTTATTTATCTTCATAGTCCCAGGACTTAACTAGCTTCTAAGTTCCTGGCACATGATAGATGATAAATTTTTTTGGAAAGAGAAAGGATAACCAAATAAAATACCAATCGAATTCTTGCATCATGAATTCAGTTTGGAAATAATCATGTGGAGAAAGAATCACCCTTAACATAGTTTACTGTCCCACTAAATGTAGCTTGGTCAGTAATGCTGTTTGTTGTGGAAAATCATCTGAAATCAAAGCTTCCTGTTCAGGCAACCATGGTTGGTTGCTCCTCTTTGAAATGACCTGTTGTGAATAAATCCCTATGATTTTTAAATTGGTTGCAACCACTTCAAAGTGGCTTAGAAGTTTCACCACAATGTGAACTCTGCTTTACCTCTTCAAGCATTTCCCATCTCTAAACTTCCAGGCTTTCATTAGTACTTATACTTCATTCATTACTTGTGCCTCACAGCTCAGCACCTTGTAATGTGGTTGTTTTGTCTTTTCTCCTAATCTGATGTGAAATTTCATAAACTTTACAGCCATTCTTAAATGACTTCACTTTCATTCCCAATCTATGGAGTGAAAGCTAATCTATCATTTGGCTTATGTATTTACTAGGCACCAAATAAATAATAATAAACTGATTAATATATTTGTTAATTGCTATAGGGCTCGTGGTGTTTTAACTAGGACTTTGGCATCATTTTAAATGTGTCTTTTAGTTTTTAGGGAATCTTGACTAAAATTAGATTTTTCCAGGATATAGCCGGCTTTCATTTTGAGTCTAGTTTATTTACTTTTACTGTTCATATCTTTAACATAGGTCTCTTTTATTTTGGAAGTCATATCTTCCTATTTGAAATAGATATACAAAATGGGTTGAAATTCTGGACCATTTCATTTTAAATTTTCCTAAGTGCTAAAAACAGTTATAGATTTTGATTTATTTTATTTGTTTTTTTTTTTATTCATTACTATTACCTGTCTGGGGTTAGTATAGGACAACTTAGAGAAAGCAAGCAGAGGAATATGTTAAAGATTGAAGTTTCAGACACGTTGATGCAACTAACTTACCTGTTGAGTTTCGTGTTCCCTTGGTCTCATCCATGGGAAGGAGGAATGTGGTGGGAGAAGACCATTCATCCACAAAGAATTAAATGATTTCCCAAAGCCAAATCTTGAATACTAAAGACATGGAGAAAAAAAAAAGTATGATTATATTTCACTGTTGTATTGGTTTTCATTTTCTAAAAAAAAATCACAGAAAGTGCAGAAATAGCAAAAGTAAGAGTGATATTCATTAATGTGGATAGGTAAGTCTTCCAGTAGATTTGCTTTCCATTCTGAGCCAGTCTGCAATATTTCCATAAACTTGTTTGAGATTTTGCTTTTTTAAAAGCATTCATATTTTGGGCTGTATAATAAAATTGATAATACAAAAAAGAATTTTTTTTGTACTAAAGAAAAATCAACATTATTTTTATTTTTCCCTACTATCCATACCTATCCTAGGTCCTATATCCCTATCCTATATCCCTACCATCCTAGGTCCTTATTTTGTTTTAGGTTATTTCAGTTACTCTTTGCTCTTTTAGTAGTTAGGATATTTTTTATTCACAAACAAATTTTATGAATTACCATGCTGCTGCTAATATCACTACCACAAATACCATGAATATTTGCAATGAGAAATATTTGAAAATATGATTACCTGAGAAAGCATGTTTAATCCCTGCAGACTTCCCAACTGTCTCATTGTCTATCAAGAAAAGGAAAAGTCAGTTAGTGTTTGCCACATATGTTCCTTTTGTGTATGACACAATTGATTTTTCAACGTATCATAATATTAAGACAACGTTTGGGGTGGGTCAATTTGAATAAGATAGGAGACACAAATCATCACTAAAAAGTGGAAATGTTAAATATGATTCTGCCATTGTTGTTATTATTGCTGTTAAAATAGTGAGCTTACTTTTTATCATTAATTAAAAGAGAGATAATATCCTTTAAGTGGAAGTCATATTGAAACATGGGAAAATAGCCCATTCAATTGAAATATCAATGTAATCATGAAGACATTGTCTCATTGACTCTTTTCCTCCCATTTAATTTACTTTGCCTTTTACAAATCCAGCCCAAAGAGAAATTTGGAAAAAAAAAAACCCACACACACAGGCAAACAAACTAAAGCAAATCAAAACAAAACAACCCTACCTGTTTCCCAAGTTAAAAAAAAAGCCCTCAAAATAATAAATATAAAAAATACTCGGGAAAATGGTAAGTATCTAGATAGATGGTCAAGAATGCTGCCAATTCTACAGAAAGTCAATTTCATTTTTTCCTGGGGAGAGGTTTAGAAGGCTTTGAGTTGAGGTTAAGCTAGAAAGTAAGAAAAAAAGTAACTCAGTGAAACTAGCTTCCATGTGAAAAAATCTTATAGCACATACAAGTATTGATTACCCTCAGACTGTCATGATATAAATCAATTTTGTAAGACCTTGTAAAAAATTTGTAATCTCATAAACACTTTTCTATTCTTAACTGTGTATGTTTTCTACTGATACCTGAAACATTTCTATTTTGTTTGGGATTTTCTAAGCAGAGTATATATTAGTTATAAGAACTGCAATAAGACAGAGTCTATGCAGGAGGTAGCATCTTACAGTGTTAATGTGGTTTACAGTCCTCATAAACAATTAAATTTTGTAAGATAAACTTTCCTCATGGGAACTCTGTCATACACTGTAATGAGAAGGAACTAAGTATAAACTATTTGTGAATTCAGAACAATGTGTTTTAATTAATGTATTAGTATTAAATATTAGTATTGCTTTGATTTGCATACAGATGGTGTTCTAAAGACCAAAACACCTGAAAATTTAAAACTGCAGTAAAATTATAAGGTGAGGCTCTTATAAATGTAATAAACTTCTCTAGAACTTCACAGGACAACCACTGACTTCTGGCTCAGAAAACTAAGAAACAGCCCTTGTATTTCTCTCTTATCAGAAACAAACCAATGTAATGATTATATGTAAATACTCTGACAATACATACCTCAAGGCTCAAACTAGCCATGCCTGGTATCCCAGGTTGTTGAGGAAATGCCTAAATGGAAATAAGAATAATTGGTGTTCTCTTTCAAGAGAAACTCCCCCCCACCCTGTTTTGTTTTGTTTTGTTTTTTAAATGAAGAGAAACTTCCTTACACACTGAACATAGAAAAACACACGAGTATGTAGTTTTCCTTTGTGTGCAAGAATTTCAGGAACATTTTTCTGAGCATATGTTATCCACTTCTTACTTTCTAACACAGGGAAAATCCCACCATCTGAATCATGGTGCAAATTTCTCCAAATAATTCAGTTTTGCAAATGGATAGAAGGAAAAGAGCTATAAATGTGTAGCAAATACTCCAAGAAGAGAAAAAATTTAGCTGTGTGGGCAAAAAGAGTGATATGTGTGTGTGGTGAGCAAATTGTTCAGAATTTTAGGGAAAGTGAGAGTTGACCCTTCTTTATTCCTATTGGCCAGTGTGAAAATAAGGTAACAGGAACATATTCAACTACAGGACAAAGAACACTTTGCTTCTATTTATCCAAGTCATGCATTAATGAACAATATTTACATGAATGTAGATAGAGGATATCTTCCCCATGGGGAAGTAAAAGGAGGACATCTGATTGGGCGGGCAGTCAGTTGACAATCCTAAGCAATTGTTCTCTTTCTCAAAGTGGACCTGACTGGCACAGTTGTGGACAGTTAGAGGTTACAAGAGTGTCAGGGTGTTAGATTGACGGTTGGTGGCTGAAGTGACCCCAATGTCAGTATCATACAAAGGTCAGCTAAGGTGGCAGCTTCAGTTTTTCTTTCATTTAAAATTCACATTGAGCAATGGAATAGAAACTTTTTATCTGTAGAATGGAGGTTTTCATCCTAGTAGTCAGTTTTCACTGCCACCCCTCTCCTTTCCAAAATATTTTAAGACACCCAAAGAACTTTTGTCTCAAAGAACTTAAATATTTAAAGTTCATTTTGAGGCCACTTACAAGTTCTCAAAATAAGAGACCACGTCACATTTATCTTCATGTCTCCAATTCCAGCATGTTGCTGGATTCATGGAAGGTGCTTAGTCAATATTTTCCAAATTCATGTAGGAGCTGAATAAAATCTTCACGTAAACTGAATCACATACTATTGATGGGAGTAGTTCAGTGCTCAAAGGATGGTATTCATATTAAAATATCTCAGTATATGAGAGAATGTGCCAGGGGTAGGACTGTAACACACAATTAGCCCCATTGCCATGGCATGTTTTAATTTAAGAAACTTAAGCTTTCAGTCACCCAATATCTCCCTATAAAGCAATCCTGTTGGTAATTGCTAGCTTCAAATGGGATTATTTAGCTCAGTTTTGTAACCATAGGAATTTGGCTAATATTGTTCTTTTAAAAGTGAAGAAGAAGATGTACCTTTTTTGGAGAAATTTCTTCTTTCCATTTCACTTTCATAATGATAGCAGGTAGTTGATAATAAATCTGTGCTGTGACATCATTGGAGACCACATACATCTTATAACTCTGAGTTGAATAAGACCGAGCTCTGAGTTGAATAATAGGAGTTGTCTTTGCAATATTTAAAATATCTTTGTGAATAGGAAAATTACATATTTGGCTATTGCTTTTGGATGGTAAAGCTTTCCCCTGTGGCAGAGTGGTAGAGCCTGCGTGCAATGCAGGAGACCCAGGTTCTATCCCTGGGTTGGAAAGATCCCCTGGAGAAGGGAATGGTAACCCACTCAAGTGTTCTTTCCTGGAGAATTCCATGGACAAAGGAACCTTGCAGGCTATAGTCCATGGGGTTGCAAAGAATCAGATAGGCTGAGAAACTAAAACTTTCACTTTTACTTTCTTTTTGGATGGTAAAGGCTGACATCTAGGCACTGGATTAGTCCCAATGAGTCCCTTTGTGGCACTCAGCTAGGTCCTTCAGTGTTGTCTGCTGTCTGGTGATGTCTCTACCAGGGTACCTCCAGAGGACTGACTTACCGGCACTGCAGAACTCATTTTCAGGAGGCACAGGATCAGTATCACGTCCTTCATTTTGAAAAGTGGGATCTGAAACAGAGTTGGATTGGAGAATCAAATCAGATGAATTTTTAATCTCAGAATGGTTTAAAGACAATATTTCCATCAGCCAAATCTCTGCTTTTCCAAATGACTAGGTTCAAAAACAAAACAACTAAATATTGCTAAATAGCTAATTTTTAGAATGAATTGAAGAATTTAAAAATTTCTGAGTGCCTTTTTTTTTTTTTTAGCAAAGCTACCACCTAAATGAACATGTGGGGGCACTTCCATGAATATTCTATAATTTCATTTCATAAAATATATTATGAATTAAAAAATCCCTTCCACTATGTGAAATGTTCATCTATAAAGTTTGAGTTACAGAATTTTATACTTTGTTTCCTTCCAGAGTAAATTTTGAAATGCATTCAAACAACAGTCATTTCATAACAAGCCTTTATGTGCGGGTATAAAGGGTATACCATTCTATGTTTAGCTTATCCAGGAAACCATGCCAAAAATGATCTTTTAAAAATAAAAATGAACTAAATATTTTAATTTCCTTTGATATTAGTGTAAAATATGTCTCTAAATAGAGTTTTCCTCTTTCTAAAATGAATTCTCTCTCATTTATTCTGTGAATTCAAATGGCACTTTACATTTACACAAACAGAAATCTGACTAGTCAAGAGATTTGCTCAACTTCTATATTTTTCCAAATTAGATACTGTTACTAATAATCACAAATAACAAAAAAGTCAAAAGATAAGTCTTTTCCCTTAGCTGAAAGGGTATTAGGCATGTCTTTTTGGGAACATGCTAATAATGGTTCACCATAAGCTACTATTCAGTTTATGGTGACAAATGAAGACAAAAGCTGCCTGGAGATAGGAGAAAAGAACTTACAGGAATCACATGGAAATCATAAAATCACATTTTACCTTCAATGCTGGCATGCACTGTGCTCTCAGGGCCTTGCGATGCCAACCAAGATAGTTCTAAGAAAAGAAGATTAAAATTTTTTTCTGGACTGTGCCTGGGACTCACTCTGTATCTCTCATTCAGGGAAGACCTGAAATCTTTATTTAAAGTGCCAATCCACCAATCAAAGTGAAGCTCAATGGGAGGAAAAAAAAAAAACCGTAACAGCTCCACTCCTGCAATTAACCCACACCCTTTTATTTCATGTAAGGAGACTGGTCCAGTGGAGTCTCATTATTTTTAATTGTAACTCAACCCCTGTATTTATTCAGAGAACTAGATTGCAGGGAAGACAGTGAAGGAATAATGAACATAAACTCTGAAGACAATCATTTTGGTGAGCTGGGGGAAATATATGTAAAATAGGGGTTAAATAAACCATTATCTGTTTTGTGTAGGTTTTTAATCTTCAGGTAAAGCTAGTGACCCAGTGCCAGTATTCTCAAGAGTTTCACCTTCATATTTTGTTGTGATAAAAGTAACTCCTTTCCTTTCCCCTCAACATATACACACCCTAGAAGGAAACACTGAAATAACTTTCTGGACCTGGAAGAGAGGATAAAAACACTAGATGGATAATGAATGTTATGATTTTTTCCTCAGAGGTTCCTAGATATTTTCATATCTGAAGACAATAGACTAGAGACAGCCAAACTTTTGCAAAAAATTCAGCTGGACCCTCTGAAATAATCATCTCAGGTGAACCTTCAGTGCCTGGACATTGCAGGCAGAGGGACATAAATCAGGATATTCTCATGAACCAATGGACTCCATGGGCACTACTCTCAGTTCATTCTTTAGATAGAACCATTTTCAGGCATTTAGTATTCAACCAGGTTAGTAAGTCATATCTGTGTCACTTAATCAGCCAACATCAACATGAATGGGATTTTCTCTGTGAATAGATAAGAATGTCTTGGATATGGATTGAACTTTAGCTGCTTTTGCTATTTCTCTGCCCCTCCTTGGCTTTCCAAGAGTATGATTTCAGATGTGGTAGAGATAAGCATTTAGTAGCATTTAGGACTACTTTCTTGAGAAAGGATGAGTAAGCACACTCTTCAAGGAAGCAGAGATCTTGCCAATTACAGGGAACATTGAGGAAGCTGGTATTTGGGGAGAAAGATTTCTTCATACCCAAGCTAGGTCTAATGGTATCAAATAATGTTATCTAAGAAGGTGTGCCTAAAAAAATTCATTCGCCATTGATGAGAGATTTTAGGAGGCAAAGGAGAATCTGAATATATTTTATAAAGAGCAGAATGTTCTTGAAGTGAACGTTTTTTTTTTTTTTTTTTTGGTCTCTGTTACTCTTGTTATTCCAGCTCTGGTGCTTGATCAAGACTCTTAATCTCTCTGAGCTCCACTTTCTTCCTCTGTTGTTCAGTCACTCAGTCATGTCCGATTCTCTGCAACTCCATGGACTGCAGTATGCCAGGCTTTCCTGTCCTTCACTATCTCCTGGAATTTGCTCAAATTCGTGTCCTTTGAGTCAATGATGCCATCTGAGCATCTCATCCTCAGTCTCCCCCTTCTCCTCCTGCCCTCAATCTTTCCCAGCATCAGAATTTTTTTCCCAGTGAGTGGACTCTGCACCAGGTGGCCAAAGTATTGGATCTTTAGCTTCAGCATAAGTCCTTCCAATGAATATTCAGGACTGATTTTCTTTAGGATTGACTGGTTTGATCTCCTTGCAGTCCAAGGGATCTCAAGAGTCTTCTCCAGCACCACAGTTTGAAAGCATTAATTCTTTGGTGCTCGGCCTTCTTTATGGTCCACCTTTCATGTCTGTACATGACTACTGTAAAAACTATAGTTTTGACCATATGAACCTTTGTTGGCAAAGTGATATCTCTGCTTTGTAATATGCTGTCTAGCTTTGTTATAGCTTTTCTTCGAAGGAGGAAGCATATTTTAATTTCATAACTACAGTCACTGTCTGCAGTGATTTTGGAGCCCAAAAAATAGTCTGTCACTGTTTCCATTTTTTCCCCATCTATTTGCCATGAAGTGATGGGACCAGATGCCATGATCTTAGTTTTTTTGAATGTTGAGTTTTAAGCCAGCTTTTTCACTTTACTCTTTCACCCTCATCAACAGGCTTTTTAGTTCCCCTTTGCTTTTTTCCTCTCTAATGTAGGGATAATATTTACTACCTACCATAGGCTTAGTTCGAAGCTTTGGCAATAAGATCAAGATACAGCAGCTGTCTGGGCTTCCCTGATAGCTCAGTTGGTAAAGAATCTGTCTGCAATGGAGGAGACTCTGGTTATATTCCTGGGTTAGGAAGATCCCCTGGAGAAGGGATAAGTTACCCACTCCAGTATTCTTGGGCTTCCCTTGTGGCTCAGCTGGTAAAGAATCCACCTGCAATGAGGGAGACCTGGGTTCAGTCCCTCAGTTGGGAAGATCCCCTGGAGAAGGGAAAGGCTACCCACTCCAGTATTCTGCCCTGGAGAATTCCATGTACTGTCTAGTCCATGGGGTCACAAAGAGTCGGACAAGACTGAGTGACTTTCACTTTCTTTTACAGCAGCTGCCTATAGTGGGTGCTCAATAAATGGGTTGATTGTCCTTCATGTGGAAGAAACTACAATGAAACATAGGACCATGAAGATATCATGTGTGTGTGTGTGTGTGTGTGTGTCTGTGTGTGTGTGTGTGTGTCTTGTCTGTGTGTATTAGAGATGGAGAAGTATTGGTGGTTAGGTCCATGAGCTTCAAGGATGTAGAGAAGGGACCTGATGGAAGGCATTTCCTCTGTATGGAAGTTGATGCTGAATCTATGGGACTAAGCATCCTAATTGACAGCTAAACATGGAAATTGTGTCTTTTACAGTTTATGAGCATGATCATCATTTTGGTAGGACTCATATGTTTTGTCTTACTCTTAAGCCAAATATCCAATATAGGTAATATAGGTAATGTTGCTTTTACCTTTTAAAAAAATGTATTTCATATTCAGTCCTAGGGTTATTGTCTCCCAGATGTTTGCCTTTTAGTTTTTTTTTCCTTCAGTTTCCTGTATACCAACATCAAGTTTATCTTCCTAAAATATTGGCTTCAGCATTTCCCTGTCTCACTCAAAAACTTTTTAAGGATCCCTAAGGCTACAATGTAAAATTCACCCTCTGTACCTAGACAGTCAAATTAACATTCTAGTTCACCTTTCCAGTCATATCTCCCACTATGGGTATAGTAATAATGATTGTTGTAATCAGTTGAAGTTAGTCTCATTTGTCTCTAGTAAAGTTTTTTTATTTTTGGCTTATGTTACTGGGAAAGTTAGTACATATAATGCTAGTTCGTGCTATGCAAAATGTTTTAACCACAAAACATCTGGAAATTAGTGTGAGTATGTGAATACATATCTGATAGTGATTATAGGTGTTAAGGAAGTTACTGCAGCTGATGGAAACTATGTAATGTTGGTCAAGACAGTACCTATATAAAGAACAACCAGAGCCCCAGTTAAAAAAACTATGTCCAAAGCCCAGCAAAAATAAAAAGCCTCAGGATAACAGAAAATCTGAGCACCTGAGGGGACACATGCCACAGAAAAATTTATAAAGGAAAATCTAGAGAAAGAAGATCCCATGGATGATGTTATTATAGCAGCTGAGAGCAGAGCTGCTTAAATCCCCTCTGTGACAATGATCATGTGACATTGGGTGAGCTACTCAACTCGAATATATTTAATATTTTCATATAATAATTGAATCTGCGAAATATGGTGTACCATAGAACAGCATGAATTTCTTTTAATTTTAATAGAACAATGAAACAGAATATAGTGCTCAGTGTGTGTGCTTGCTCAGTTGTGTCCAACTCTGTGACCCCATAGACTATAATCCATCAGGCTCTTCTGTCTATGGAATTTTCCAGACAAGAATACTAGAGTGGACTATCATTTCCTATTCCAGGGGATCTTCCCAACCTAGGGATCTAGAGATCGAACACACATCTCTTGCATCTCCCGAACTGGCAGGCAGATTCTTCACCACTGCGCCACCTGGGAAGCCCCTTTAGTGCTCAGCATACCATCTGATATG